TATTAGCTGCAACTGATGAGTAGATGAAGGTTCGGTTTTTGACTTGTGGGAGCTTCACGTCATTTTGCCCATTTTGCAGGCACTACAATGATTTTCAGCGGAAGACTTTAGATGCAGGCACTACAATGATTAGCAGAGGAAGCCCCTTGACAAGTTTCTTGGAGGACAAGGTTGATAGATGTTTGAAGTTCAGATGGGAGAGACGTCTGTGCCATAGGTTGTTCTGTTCAGTTGAAGCTTTGGACAGCAGACAGATGGAAGTGGTGGATTGGACGCTTTTCAGATCAATAGTGTACAGATTTGATGTTCTGTAACACGTTAATAATGTATTTCCTGTGCTGTCAAGAACATAGCATTGTTTTGCAAAGAACCTTACTTCCATCCCGCTGTCACAGAATTGTCCAATGCTCAGTAAGTTGTGTTTGAGCCCTTTGACGAATGAAACATCTTTTATTGTGACGCTGGTACAGATGACGTCCCCATACCCAAGGATAGGAGATGAGGCGTCATTCCCGAATCTGACATTTCCTCCGTAGCAGTTGGTGTAGTTGCTCAAAAGGTGCTTTATTCCGGTCATGTGGGTTGAGCATCCTGAGTCTAAGTGCCACACATGACCGTCCTGCAAAACAATCAAATAGGATTAGGTACCCAACTTGGAGTGGGTCCTTCCTTATTATCAAGAAACACCTTTTTAAATCTTGCTTTGAGCAGTGATCCAAGGTCAGCTGCTCTTTCAACAAAAGATCTATCTTCGATGGGCTTTCCAATTGCCAGATCTGCTTTTGCAGTGTGTCTAGTTTTTGGAGTCCACCTAGCACTTTCCATTTTGGTGGGTCTGATGTTGTGAACCCACCTTTCCATTTTAGTCCTTGTGGGTCTAAGTTTGGGGACCCACCTTTCAGTTGCAGTTATGATGGGTCTTCGATTTGGACCCCACCTTTCAGTTTCAATTATGATGGGTCTACGATTGGGAACCCACCTTTCAGTTTTAGTTATGATGGGTCTACGATTGGGAACCCACCTTTCAGTTTTAGTTTGGATGGGTCTTCGTTTGGGGACCCACCTATTCGATTCAGGTTTGGTAGGTCTCATCTTGGGGACCCACCTTTCCGTTTCAGTTTTGACGGGTCTTATCTTGGGGACCCATCTTTTTGTTTTAGGTTCAGGAGGAGAGTAGACAGGTGCTTTGTGATTGAACGGTTGTTTCTTGAGTTTGGTTTTGAAAATCTCCTCCTTAGAAAGCCGATTAGCATGTTTCCTAGAATGAACTCTAAGGGCATATTTCATATCTGGAATACAAAACGTTCCCTTAGAAGTTCCTTTCTTGGTTTCATTTTCAGGTTTAAGCTTTCTGGAAGGCTTAGATTTAACAACATTCACATCACATTCATAATTATGGGGATCTGGAACAGAATAACCATAAGCAACACTTGTATTATAAATAGAACTTTGTCTAGAAGATGTCTCAGAAATATTCTGCTTGGGACTCAAGACTGAACTGTTAGAAGTTTGCTTTGTAGAGACAGAATTACAATTAACTTTTGAGTAAAATATTGAACTAGATCTAGGGCTGGCACTTTTCTCAAAAACTTTCTTTTTGCCATCTGCGATTTCCTTCCTCTTTTTCCTCCACTCATTCTTCTCTTCTCCTTCTTTATTCACTTCATTCCTTGTAAACAAAGGAGAAGAGAGATGAGTGGACGAACCTTTAAAAGCATTGTTTTTCTCATGTGAGGTGTGTGAGCTGTCAGGCTTGGTCGTAGTAGGGTCTGTTTTAGCATGAAACTGCTCACTCAAATCATTAAATTTTTGAAGAAGTTCCTTCCAGTTGCGCTCAAAACCTTTCTTTTCAGTTTCAAATCTCTCTTTCTCGTTATCAAGAGTTTTTTGTAGATTTTTGAGCTTTTGAGCCATGGGAAAAATACATGGTTCCTCACCAGTTTTAGCAATACCAACTCTTGGGGGAGGGTCTAGAGGGTGTCCTATGTGAGGAATATCTTTGGCATAAGGGTCAAGGCATTCACTAAAGCAGGAAGTAGGTTTTTCTTCTGAAAGTTGTTTTTCATTTACAGAGGGATAATCACAAGAAATCGCAGGTTTTGGTTTCTTTCTCTTTTCTTCTTCTGCTTCAGCATAATCTTCATCACTTCGAAAATACATTTTCTCACCAAACCCTAGTCCCATGTAATCTTTGTTATAGATTTGAAGGCAATTAACTTTCTTAAGATTACGTGGGTTAGTTATGCCCAGTCCTGTTTTAGCATTGTAGAATCGGTCATCCTTTTGTTTGTTGTTAAGCAGAAAAACAGTTTGTTCAGATTGACCTCTTCTAGCAGCTAGATCTTCTAGTTCTTTTACTTTATTTAAAAGCGTTCTTCTTTTGTTATGCAAAAAATCGCATTCAGCCTTTGCTGTGCTTTTTTCCCGTTCACTGTCCTCAAATTTCTTAGTTAATTCAGCTATCTTAAGTTCAAAGCTTTCAAAATCTGAGGACACCTTTTTGACTTGATCTTTTGCAATTTCAAGTTGAATACTTAAGGAAGACTTTTGGTCTAGATTCTGTTTCAGAACTCTATGATTATTGTCTAGTCTCTCCTTTAGTTCTTTGATTAGATTGTCCTTTTCAAGTAAGGACTGCATTTGATTATTTGAAGAAGTATGTGAGGTACTTACAGAGCTTGTTGAGCAGTTGCTTTCGGGGATCGCAGCATCACCCTTTATTTCATCTCCCTCCACACGTGCCATAAGGGCATAGTTGTCTTCCTCTTCCTCCTCCTCAGAAGAATCTTCTGCCCAGTTCTCATTCTCAGCAATCATGGCAGAGGTTTCTTCTTCTTTCTGCACCATCAGCATTTTCTGCTTATTCCACAGCATCTTCTGCTTGTAGAAGTTAGCATCTTTCTTCTTTGGGAGGCGGCAATCTTTGATCACATGTCCTGGTTTGCCGCAATTATAGCATTTAGGAGCTTCTTCTGCCGATGATGCCTTCCTAGAAGATCCTTGATCATGGTTCTTCTGCTTGTAGTTTGAGGAGGAAGTTCTTAGCCTGTTGGAGGAGCTGTTCTTCTTAGCAAATCTCTTGGCAAGCATTGCCATCTTTTTCTGTAAGTCTGCTAGCTCAGCCTCTAGATCAGATTTGTCATCTTCACTCTCATCATCATCTGATTCAACCACCACCTTCTTCTTTTTCTTCTTTAGTGAAGTGGTTGTCCTTCTTGGCTGAGCATCCATTACAAGAGCTAAGGGGTTTGTGGTGTGATGATCCTCAGCACAGGCAACCTCGTTGACGAATTGCTTCAGATGTTCATAGAGTGTGCAGAGGTCAATTTCGTCCAAATCTACCCGAGATCTGACATCCTTCACTGTCTTTTCCCATGCAGGATGCAAGCTGGATAAAAATCTAATATCCAGTTCCAGATTAGACCTGAATACTTTGATCTTTCTAAGTTCATTTACCAATTGAACAAGTCTGTTGTAAGTCTCATTCAATGGTTCTCCTGGACCTGCTTTGAAGGAGTCATAAGCGATGAGAATCGTAGTCTTCTTTGTTTTGAGGCTGATGCTTGTGCCTTGTAGCAGCTTCTCAATTTCATCCCACATTTCCTTAGCTGTCTGCATGCTATCTATGAGAACATAAACCTCATTCGGTATTGCTTGAAGGAGGTAGGTTTTGGCCATAAGATCACCACGAAGTCTGAGCTTGTCGGCTTCTGTGTATTCAGACGACACTTTTCTCCTTATTTCTGGAAAAATAGGAGGATTGTTCTCTGGATCTCCACCAACTGAAATCAAGAGTTCAGCTGGTCCTTCAAGCAAAGATTCGAGCATTGCAGAAGAGTTCTCTTTGTGCTCGAGGAAGTTTAGAAATCTGTTCCTCCACATTTGATATTCTCCCTTCCTGAGGCTAGGAGGGGTACTGCTGTTCCCTTGTGCATTGTAATCTGAACCCATTGCTGTACTACACTGACCGTTCGAGAAAATTGATCAAAAGATTTTCAGAGGCAGAATCTCGAAAAATCAGATGTCGAGATCTGAATATCGAAATCTCAGATTTCGATAAAGGAGGCCCGGTATCGAGATTTGGGCTCGAGATTAAGGATCTCGAGATTAGGGATCTCGAGATTTCAAATTTCGAGATGCTGATCTCGAGATTTGAAATGTCGAGAAATTAATCTCTCGAAATCTTAATCTGATGAGTCAAATGTCGAGACCAGATGTCGAGTCCTGTTCTCGAAATCAAGATTTCGAAATCCTAGATGTCGAAATCCTCAATGTCGAAATCCTGCAACCTGTAAAAATCAGATAAACAAAATCTGAAGAAAGTTTCCTGTAGAGTTGAATGTCGAGATCTTCTGGTAAAGTTTTCAGCTCGAAAAACGTAGCAGAACCTGTGGAGAAGTAGGATGTCGAGATGCCTAGCTCGAGATATCTCGAAATCAAAGATTGCGTAAAACACAAACTGAAGTATACCCTTTGATCGCTTTGAAGAGGCGATTCCAAAGGTGTAACTTTTTACAACTTTTGAACAAGAAACAAAATTACAGAGCAAAAAATCGACAGAATGAACTACGTTATCAAAAACAGAGTATTCTGCAGGAATTCTTCTGATCGTTCTCGATCGGCTCTGATACCAATTGTTAGTCCCTGTTTCTGTAACAGCAATGAATAATCGATCTAACAAGGAAGGTTAAACGTAAAGATGAACACAGAATGAATCACCGTAAAACCTTCTTTGATAAACCGTGGAACGTACAACAGAATGATATAAGCGTAAGGCTATGAATAATAAGTACGACGTTCAACCTTTTCCTAAACCTCGGCTCCCTTTTTATAGGCGAGGTTTAGGTTAGGCGTATCAGGCTTTTGGCCTGTTTAAATGGGCCTAACACTTGGCCTGATTTCTATCTAATTTATGCACTATTTAAATACAAGGATTAAATATAAAGCTAATCTATGACCAACTTGATTCACAATTAAATATCTCCAACAGGGTCTCTTACCTCAGGATTGATGATATGTGACTCATCTCGAACGTACTTCTTTAATTGTGATACGTGAAAGACGTTATGTACCTAGCACAAATCTGTATGTTAAGGATGAAATCTAATCATTGAAAAGTATCTTGTTTTAAAATCGTTTGTTACCTTATCCAACTCTGTGGGTAGAGCTAATCGATATGCCACTTTTCCCACCTTCTCTAGGATGTCGTAGGGTCCGATGAGCCTTGGGCTTAGTTTCCCTTTCTTCCCGAACCTCATTACTCCCCTTGTAGGAGAGACTTTGAGTAGAACTTTCTCCCCTATCTCGAATTCAGCTGGCTTCCTCCCAAGATCGGCATATGATTTCTGTCGGTCTTGGGCAGCCTTCATCCTCTCTTGGATGACTTTGACTTTCTCTATGGTATCTTGCAAGTATTGTGGTCCTAGAACCACCTGATCGACAATGTCACCCCAACATAAGGGACTTCTACACTTTTGACCGTATAGAGCTTCGTACGGGGCCAATCCGATGGTAGCATGGTAACTGTTATTGTACGAAAACTCTATTAAGTCTAGGTGCTCATCCCATGATCCTTGCAAATCAAGAACACATGCCCTCAACATGTCTTCTAACGTTTGGATTGTTCTTTCGGTCTGCCCATCCGTGGTTGGATGAAAAGCAGTACTTAACTTCAATTTTGTCCTCATAGCCGTTTGTAATTCCTTCCAGAATTGAGATAAGAATCGTGAATCTCGATCCGATACGATGTCTTGAGGTACTCCGTGGTGTTTGACCACGTATTTGACATAGGCTTTGGCCAGCTTGTCCATGCTCCAAGTTTCATTCATGGGAATAAATCTTGCAGTTTTGGTTAATCGGTCAACGATTACCCAAATCTTATATCTTCCGGATTTAGTTAAGGGTAACCCTCCAACAAAATCCATCGAGATGGAATCCCGCTTCCATTTAGGTACTTCCAAGGGTTGCACAAGTCCCTTGGGTTTACATCTCTCTGCTTTGACTTTTTGGCAATTCAAACATCGGGATACGAATTCAGCTACTTCTCTCTTCATTCCCGGCCACCAAAAGTTCTTTTTGAGGTCTTTGTATAGTTTGTCTCCCCCGGGATGTACTGAGTAGGGAGTGTTGTGTCCATCCTCCATGATTTGTCTTTTAATATCTGCACACTTCAGAGGAACACACCACCTTCCCTTGTATCGGATGCTCCCATCTTCATGTGTCCTGAATGGTCCATTGACCCCATCTTTCATTCTTTCCTTGATTCTCTCGAGCTTCACATCTCCCGGTTGCCCATTCTTGATCTCCTCGAAGATAGATGGTGTAACGGTCATAGTACATAACTGTATTTCACTATCTACTTCGCCATATTGTTTTACTTCCAAGTTCAATCTTTGAAAGTCTCGGAACAGTTCTTCTGGTAATATCCATGTTGCTCGGCATGAGTGCTCAGATTTCCGTCTCAAAGCATCCGCCACCACATTAGCTTTTCCCTCGTGGTATTGGATTTCCAGGTCGTAATCACTTAGAAGTTCGAGCCATCTTCTTTGCCTCATGTTAAGCTCTTTTTGAGTGAATTTGTACTTCAAGCTTTTGTGGTGAGTGTATATCTTACATTGTGCTCCGTATAGGTAATGTCTCCAGATTTTCAGTGCAAACACTACTGCAGCTAACTCCAAGTCATGAGTAGGATAGTTAATTTCATGCACCTTCAATTTTCTTGATGCTTAAGACACCACTTTCCTATTCTGCATAAGCACACACCCCAACCCCTTCTTAGATGCATCGCTATAGATATCGAACCCCTCCGTCCCTGACGGTAATGTCAAGACCGGTGCGGTTGTGAGTCTTTTCTTCAACTCTTGAAATGCTGCTTCACAATCTTCATCCCAATAGAACTTGGTTGTCTTCTTCGTCAGGTTGGTTAACGGTCTTGCTATCTTGGAGAAATCTTTAACAAATCTCCGATAGTAACCGGCTAATCCCAAGAAACTTCTTACATCCGTGACTGAGGTAGGTGCACGCCACTCAATCACCGCCTCAATCTTGGATGGATCTACGGATACGCCCTCTTGGGTGATAATGTGACCCAAGAACGCTACCCGATCCTGCCAGAAGTCGCACTTTGACAGTTTGGCATACAACTGGTTCTCTCTCAATGTTTGTAATGTGAGTCTCAAGTGTTTCTCGTGATCCTCTGGGGTATTTGAATAAACGAGGATATCATCAATGAATACCACTACAAAGGTATCAAGGTAAGGTCGGAATACACGGTTCATTAGATCCATGAACACCACTGGTGCATTAGTTAAACCAAACGGCATCACAGTGAACTCGTAGTGTCCATACCTCGTGCCGAATGCTGTCTTTGGTACATCTTTCTCGGCTATTCTCACTTGATGGTAGCCAGAGCGCAAGTCTATCTTAGAGAACGTGCTAGCCCCTTTTAATTGATCAAACAAGTCGTCAATCCGGGGTAATGGATATTTGTTCTTGATAGTTGTTTGATTCAACTCCCGGTAATTGATACATAGCCTTAGACTCCCATCTTTCTTTTTGACAAATAAGACCGAAGTGCCCCGAGGTGAGACACTCGGCCTTATGTATCCTTTCTCTAATAGCTCCTCCAGTTGCTCCTTCAGCTCTTGCATTTCTTTTGGTGCCATCCGGTAAGGTGCTTTTGAAATTGGTGCAGTTCCGAGCATCAACTCAATTAAGAATTCAACTTCTCTCTCGGGCGGCATTCCCAGAATCTCTTCCGGAAATACGTCCGGAAATTCGTTGACTACAACAATTTGGTCAATGTTTGGCTCTTCTATATTCACCTATTTCATCAAACACAAGTAGGTTTCATACCCCTTTCGAATATGTTGTCGTAATTGTCGCATAGTCATCAGCTTCATACTGGGCTTGGTTGTGATTGCTTTGTAAGATATTCTCTTCCCATTTGGACCCTTCAAGATCACCTTCTGTTCATCACATAGGATCCTAGCTTTGTACTTCCCCAACCAGTCCATGCCCAGTACTACGTCTATATCTCCTAAGTCAAATTGGATTAAGTCTCCAGGTAGGTTGGACTCACATATGAGTACAGAAATGTTGGAGTATACATTTCCACAAGTTACAAATTTATCTGAGGCAGTTCTTATATTCAAGTCTATTCTAGCTGTTGGTTCAATCTTTAATCTCTTAACGAAATTAGAAGATATGAAACTATGAGAAGCACCAGAATCAAATAGAACATAAGCATGCTCAGAATTTACAAGGAATGTACCTGAGACCACATCATTGGCATTGGCTTGGGCTTGGTTCATTACCATGATTCGCCCTTGGTTCAGACAGTTGCCGTTATTTCCACCATTTCCATTGTTCCCGCCATTTGCTTGGTTACCACCCTTACCGTGACTGCGATTATACTCCCCTCCTCCTCGAGGGTTGCGGTTGTTGTTGATGGCGGCGGCATTGTTGTTGTTTTTCCCACCATTAGGCCCGGTTCGGTTTCCATCATGATATTGCACCTGGTTCAATGGTGCCCCATTGGTCTTTGACAGACACTCGAAGGATCGGTGCCCTAGCTTCCCGCAATTGAAACATTTGGTTAGGCTCCCATCGCAGTTAACCGCAGGGTGATCTCTCCCGCACTTCTTGCAGTAGAAGTGCCTATTTCTAGGAGCAGCTCTCCGATCATTTTGCTGGTTTTGACCACGGAAATTTCTTCCGCTTTGGTCATCTCTCCTCTCCCTCCGTTCTTGTTGTTGTGTAGGTGGGTTCGCCCTAAACCTATTTTCTCCCCAACCTCTCTCCTCATCTCCGTACCTCTTCATTTTCTGGTTTCTCTCTCTGTGTAACAGCTGAACACGATAGTGAATCGCAGCTCTATCATAGGCATCCGTCAGAGTTTGGAAACCCAAAACAGCGACGGTTTTCTGTGTATCAAAGTTTAATCCACGAATAAACTTCTCGACTTTGGTGCTCTCATCAGGCACTATTGTCTTTGCAAATGGCGCGAGGTCCAGGAATTTAGTGTGATATTCCCGGACACTCATGTCCAGTTGTTTCAAATGTATGAATTCCTCATGCATGGTGGCCTCGACGTGAGCAGGATAAAAACGTTTCCTCATGGCAATCTTGAAAGCTTCCCAATTGAAATTGGGTTGTTGACGTAGAGCTGGGCCTGATGAGACCCACCAGTTATCCCCCTCTTTTTGTAAGTAATAAACAGCAATGTCAACTTTTTACTCTTCCGGACAGTTCACCGCGTCAAAGAGTTTGTCAAAGAGTCGGATCCAATCCTCGAGGATACGAGGATCTTCTTGCCCATGAAAGCTCGGTGGGTTGCGAGATGCTACTCGTTTAGCAGCATCATTTCCATTGTTCTGATTTTGGTGATTCTGGAGTACAGTAGCACCCAATGTGTGCATGAACTGCGTCAGTTGTTGGACGCTTTGTGCCAGCTCAGCATTGGTGGGTGTATTATCAGGGTCTCTTCTCGGTGCCATGATATCTTAATAACACAATATATTCGTGTAAGAATTTCCCTATTTTGCTCTTAAGGATCCTATTTCAACTAAGGATTCTATAGGCTATACAACATGATAATATGAAAATCGTACCATACTATTATACACAGGATTCACAGTTCACATAAGACCACTTTTGCACATAATGTTTGTACATACCTTGGCCGCTTTGGAATTTTGCCTTATGAGGCATTCCCTTCAACATTTAGGGTTCCCATTTCTCATATGGGCCCACAATTAGCACAATTATCACATACATGCAAGGAAAAGAATTACTCACAAGGTCCTCACCACGTTCCTAATAGGCCATTTCCTAGCTATATTATTTCTTCTAATTTAATTTTTTTTTGAAAATTTCCCATTTGGAGGTACAATTTCAAAGGTTTCCTTCAAGGATTTCGAACGACGAAGTTTCAGCACAAGGAGAAATTCCCAGTTAGTTGGACGAGCGCAAGGCTTAATTAAGAACCAACTAGCTTAAACTGTTATCGTCTTGGTGACAGAACTTCTCCCTACGACCTATTACCTCGTGTTCTAATCCCTTCGAAGAACCTAAGGGCTCTGATACCAACTTGTAACACCCCCATTTTTCCCACCCAAATAAAATCACATTTTTAAATGAAACCATCTTTGTTATTAAACATATTTAGAATACAGCAGAAGTCTTTAAGGGAAAAACAGGTGCATCACCGCCACACTCAACCTATACATGATTGAGTGCACAGGCTATCCACCATAAGTTCAAATAACAATGAAATAGGTCTTAGGACAAAGTTTGGGAATTACAAATATAAACAACGATAATTAATCAAACGTGTGCAACTAGCGGAACACTCGGGCAGCAAGTACATCAATCTTCATAATCATAATCATCTGTACAATAGAGCAAAGAGAATAAGACAAAAGAGACAAAAATTAGCTTTAGAGCTAAGTAAGATTCCACCCGAACCCGTAAAATAATATAATTTGGAAAATAGGTTTGGTA